CCCCCCCCCCCCCCCCCCCGTGGCCAATGGTGCTCATATCCCAGTGGATAGCTTTCTAAATCATTTGCTAAGTGTGGTCCTGTCTTAAGTGTGGCAGGCATGGGAAAACCTCTATTTACTGTCAGGCAAAAGAACTTTTTGTTATCTATATGTTAGACAGCATTTGAACTCAGCAAGATTTTTCCACAAACTGTCTATTATTCTTACTGGAAAACTGTAGTCTGGATCTTCCCCCTTTTGACAATTTAATTCCTTGCTGAGCAGGACAGCCTAAGATTCCTTCCCAGTGCCTAGGAATACTGCAATGATAATTCAATCCAGAAACATGTATTCAGTGTGTGCTGGATACCAGAAAATATTCAATGACTCAGCTCCAAGGGTGTAACAACTAGCCAGACGAGGAAGATGTGAGCCCTCTCTCAGCATACAGTTGGCTGACTAACAGACACTCAAACGCTCTCTTGACAATGGAGCACTGTAGGAGCTCAAAGACAGGTTTACAAAAGGAACAGGGAGAATCTTCCAGAAATCAATAGAAGAAGCTATATATAGGTAATGGAGTCTTTCTGATCATAGTCAACACGGCACAGGTTAAGAACGAGATGTTCTCTGATTTTTAACTGACAGTTGGGACCGACACAATTTACCTCGATAGAATTTGCTGAGTCACCGTTAGTACACTGCTATCTTTCTGTAGCATGTTCATAGTCCAGATGTTGTGTGTGTGATCCATACGAATAGTGAATCTTTGAGAGATGTGTCAGGAATGAAGAACAACCTTTACCCAGCCCCACCCAGGACACTCTCTGGTTTATGCTGTAATATGAAGCAACCTCACAGACCTTGGGCCTTCTCTTACTGTGCCAGGCTTGCAGAGCAGAATTCCAGAAACCCACAGCTTGCTCAACTTACTCCTAAAACTCCAAAGTGAAATAAAGTAGTAGCAAAGCCTTACGCCTCCACTGATGAGTTGGACAAAGTTGTTTGGCAGAGGAGCAAGCCTCTGAAGGAGCCCTGGTGTTATGTATGTCTGCATTACAGACTTGGAAACACAATGCAGTCCGCTTTTGTGGATGTTGGAGTAAACTGAAGAATTACTGGAGGAGGTTAGGAGCTATAAAGAAAAGCTGGGGTGGTATTCTAGGAGAGTCGGGGAAAGGGACATTAGCTAAGCATCATAGGGAGATGGAAAGATGGTTAATGGTCAGGAGTCCTTGCTCTTCTTCCAGAGGACCCCAGTTCAGTTCCTAGAACTCACACTGGGCAGCTCACAGCTGCCTGTCATTCCAGCTCCAGAGGGATTCAATTCTTCAGGTGTCCCTGAACACCTGCACTCATGTGCACAAGTGCACAAACACACAACACACACACACATAATAGTAAAATTAAAATCGTTGTTAAGCATCATAAAATGAGTAACAAAAATATACATTTCAAACTATGGATTCTCCTAACAGAGAATGAGAAAATTACAGATTAAGAAGTAAATTCAGTTGTTTGAAACTCCCTGGTACTCTCTTCTGCCCTCCCAGCCACACACAACAGCTACACATGAGGTGCAAAGACACCCATGAAAGCGTAACAAACACCTATACACATGAAATCCATTTTTAAAAATGAATAAGCAACAAAAGGCTAAGTGAAACTGAGAGGTTTTGCGGGGGACACTCAGAGGGATGAGCCTCTGGTCCAATCAGCCCTGCAGGGGTAGGGAAAGCCTGACTGAGCCTCAGGCCCTCAGGACTAACACACAAGCACATCCACGGAGGGCCTACATCTTTAATTACATGCAGCATTGCGACACGAGCTGACAGGAACAAGGTGTTCAACTTGTGCTTCAATGGACAGCCAGGGGAACCTGCAATTGACTTAGATAAGAAAGTATTCGCTGCGTCATTTATTACCATTCCTGTCTTCTGGAGGACACAGGAAGAGGCTTGGCTCCCATCAGGGCCGTTCAGAAAGAATGCACCTTAAGGCTGCACCTTCAGTGGAGAGGTGAAGAAGCTGTCTCAGCCTCAGGGTCCTTGCTCAAGTGGCCTGTGACACACGTGTGTCATGTGTATGGGACAGACACAAAACTTCCTGGCTGGTAATGATTGCTTAAGAATGTTATCAGTTACTGGAATTAGATCCCCACCTCCCTCTCTCCTTTTCTCCTTTTCTTCTCTTCTCTCTCTCTTTCTCTCTCTCTCTCTCTCTCTCTCTCTCTCTTTCTCTCTCTCTCTCTCTGACTCCCTCCCTGTCTACCTCAGAAACAGCCCATCAGAAAGGAAAATGGTTTGTTTAGTTTTGAAACTGTAATTGAGTTAAGCTTCCCCTGTTCTGACAGACAGAGCAAAACCCTGACACCCACCCCTGATTGATTTCGTTCCCTTGTATTTGTGTAGGAGAGGGGCCAGTGCAGAGCGACAGTGACAAGATGACCTTGAAAAGAGGGTCTTCTCTGTCAGTACCTTCACGTGCATGGGTGCCTGGTTTGGTTTGTGCAGTTAGAAAAGGCTGACGTGGTTGGAAGAAACTTCGTTTCTGGGGACTTTATACATGTCTTGTCTCTGATTTCCAAACATTATTATTCTCGTGTTTTACTTCTGATCAAAATGTCCCTTATCCACATAGACCTAAAACGACTACATCGAACGCTAACGCCATATTGATAGAAATTCACGTTACTTGTTGGGCTATTTGTTCCTAGTATTGCTTTTCCCGTGTGGATACATTTCAATCGAACTGAGAATATTTCTTACACATGAACCAAGAGTGTGGTTTCTTTATCTCTTTATCATGTAAAAATCCCTCCATGAAAATGCAAATGAGGAAAAGGAAGCTGTGTAGATGGAAAATGTTCTTTCAAATTATAATTAGCTGTTTAAAATATCATAACCCATGAGTTAATAATGTCTCAAGTAAACTGTCCTTTAGCATTTCACCCTATAATAACTTTTTCCAAGAAAAAAATAATTAAATGTAAACAGCACTTGCTTTGCTACCATCAAGTCCCGTGACAGGGCAAGAACCCAAGAGCCCTAGGGCTGGGGAGACGGCTCAGTGGTTAGGAGCACTGGCTGCTCTTGTAGAGGACTGGGTTCAGTTCCCAGCACCCACGTGGTGGCACACAACTGCCTGTAACTCCAGTTATAGGAGAACTTATGTTTTCTTTGGGACCCCAAAGCCACTGCATGCATATGGTGGGCATACATACCTGAAGGAACTCATGCTTACCCATCAAATTAAAAAAAAAAAATGAATCTTTGGGGAAAAAAGAACTGAGTATCCCGAGGCTGCCCCTGGGAAGAAGAACTGAGCATTCCGAGGCTGCCCCTGAGCAGCAGTACTCACCTTGCACTGCTTCTGTTTCACGGTCACCGGAAGCATTTCGTAGTTCAGATGGGTCGGGATAGCTCTTCTCTTAGGAACCATTTTTAGCTCTTCAAATTTGGAAATGTCTCCCAATTCAATAGGAGATGTGAGCGTGATGCCAGCGTTGGGAATGCTCTCGATGACTTCTGCCAGCCAGTGGGTGCCTGCACACAAACAGAAAGGAGAACGCAGCTTTAACTAAATGTTGCAGCTGAACACGGAGAGCGCAAGCACACTGTGTGAACACGGCAGGCAAGTGTGACTGCTATCAGCAGTCCTGACGCTCACACCCCTGGAACCTGCTGAAACTTGGTTTGTGGAGTAGACTCCGGTTACAAGAGTGCAAAGGATGCTTGCTGAGTCCTTCCCTTAAAATAATTTGTTAGCGCTCCTTTCTAGACCCTTCTGGTCACCAGCTCCCGGGTATGTTTCCTAATGTGGTTCCCATAGTCCTATAGGCTATCTTCTACACTTTCAACCACCCCTCCCCCACAGTCACTCTCCCTTTCTGTCTCCCACGGTACCCAGCCTCTTCCTCTGCTAGAACACATAGCAGAACGCAGTTACTACGGCATATGTGTGTGTTCGCCTTCCCGTTCACCTTTTGAAGAGATACGCATAGATCTTTCTGTATTCATATCAGCGCAAGCCAAGCATTTAAATCATAAACGTTCATCATACTCAGAGAGATAAAAGGTGATGCCATAGAATCTGAAGAAAGCAGAGTTATGTTTTTGGGGGGGAGTGGGGGAATGGATGGTGCTGTTTTAAATTGAATCTGTTATTATTGTATTTGCACATAACATGGGGGAGTGTAAGTCACACAGCACCGGTGAACATCAAAGGATAACTTCGTAGAGTGGGTCATGTCTTCCACCTTTAACCTCACTCCATGGATTAAATTCATGTGGCCAGGCTAACACTCAAGGGCTTTACCCAGGTGCCTGCCATCTTGTTGGTCCAGTGTTCTTGTGTTTATTTGTGATACAGGGATTGTTACACAGGGGATGATACAGGGGGTTGAACCCTGCACTCCATTCACGCTACACAGATGCTCTTCCCTGAACGTCGCCCCGCACCCCCACACCCAGCCAAGAAAACAACTCCACACTTTGGTGAAGCAAATGATGGCTGTATCCCAATTTTGCAGCAGAGAAGCTAAAGCTTGCAGGAGGGAGTGGGGTCATTTTGCTAATTTTAAGACTACATCCCTGGGGAGGTTAAATCAGGCTAGTGTCTTACTTCACTGTGATTTCATTGACGTGGAATATGTACAACTTCATGGCTGAATAAATACTCAGTCTAAAGTGATCTGACTTGCTTTATAAGTTTTATGTTATGTGTACTTTACAAAGGTCTTTTCGGATTTTTTTTTTAGATTTATTTTATTAGTGTGAGTGTTTTGCCTGCAGGTATGTGTGTGTATCTTGCGAGTGCCTGGTGTCTGCAGAAGAGGGCATCAGATTCTCTGGAACTGGAGTTGTGTGTGTGTGTGTGTGTATGTGTATTAGTGTGTGTGTATGTGTGTGTGTATGAGTGTGTATATGAGTGTGTGTATGAGTGTGTGTATGAGTGTGAGTGTGTGTGTGTGTGTGTATGAGTGTGTGTATGAGTGTGTGTGTGTGTGTTCTCAAAAGCCTCTGACCCTTGTGCACTTTGCATCTTCCCACACTGATGACCTGGTCTAACTGGTGACTACAGTTCATAACTGACTGAACAGCAGCTTGGCTGCTCGTTGTTGAACTGCTTACCTGTGGCCACCATCTCTATGTGGCCACTATTCTGGAAACAGTAGCAGGCAACTGGATGTTACATAACAAAACAAGATTATTATAGAACCAAGTCCAAGAAAGCACAGACTGGCATTACTTATGTTCACCGACACCCATGGGTGGACAACTACCAAAGAATCGATTCTGAAGTAAAACTTTAGCAGGGAAAGTATTTATGGCTCTTATTCGAGCAGATGAAAAAAGCTATAGACGATTAAGTATGAACTGAGCAAAGGTTGTTTAATCATCAGGATGCTCTGGGCAAGATACAATGGGAATCTATCACATAGCTAATTTGCTTATTACATATGAGATATCAACATTTGTGCACCTTCAGAAATCAAATGAAAAGGAAAGCTTTAGCGGAGCTTCAATTATTTCACCTGAGTCTTTTTAAAGAAATCTAAATTCTTGAAGGTCATTTTCCCCATCTAAATCCTTGAAGGTCGTTTTCCCTGCCTTTGGAATAAAATGTCTGATAAGTAAATGGAAACAATGTTTCTGCCTATTACTGTTGCATCTTTGTATCTTATAGAACATTTTAGAAGAAAACTCACCAGATTTGGGGTAGGAAACCAGAAATATGTCATCTTCTCTAGCATCAAAAGAGTCCAAGGAACCAAGAAGTTCTTCTGAAGACATGGTGGAGAACAAGACGCCCATGTACTTATGAAGGAGACTTGGCTGACCCTGGGATGACATCTTCCACTGACCCTATGAGAGGCTGTATATTCAACACGGTCCCTCCACAAGCCACAGACAAACCCGGCCCTTGGTCACAACCCCAGCAGAGTGTCAGAGGAATCTTGGTATCTCCAAGCTGGCATTCCATGTGTCTATATATACCTTTTGCAATTCTCTACAAGAATAATTTTTAAACCACAGCTGAGCCAACGTCTATTATAAAAAGTCATGTTATCTGAATTTTTCTGATAACACAGGTTACAAAATGTGTCCTTCCACCCAGTTCAGGATCGTTTCATAGAACACTACCGGGCAACCAAGAGTAATCACTGTGTTAAGATAATACCACTAATCAAATCCTTTGTCCTAAATAGGTAAAATCTTTAGTCACCATAATGAATTATATCACTGAAAGTAATTAGGAAAATTGGGTTTCTACTTATTAATACAGTATAGGAAGTAGCCAGTATTTACAGTTTGAGGGGAAAGGAGACAGCAACAGGGAAATAGAATGTTTCCAGGAATTGGGAAATACTCTTGCAACAATATTTATGAGCTTTGGTTTAGAAGAAATACAATGAGAGTCAGAAAAAGAGATTTCTTGAGGACACATGCAACCAGGAGGCTGTAGAGAGAAGGAAGTTCATTTTTCTTTCACTCAGTTTTAATCTTTGTTGGTAATATTACAATATTCTAGATTTAATTCGGTATGATGAAGAAATGCCCAGTTATTTCAAGGAACCTCATTTGAAAATTTGGCTTGTCTGACACTGGAAGGAACATGAAGAAATGGGGAAAATCATAACTGAGTGTCAAAAATAGAGGTTATACTGTAGGGAAAAATTTTGAAGAAGAAAGATGCCCATGGCAGTAGCAGAAACAAATGAACATATACTCGGGAGATGAATACGTACACAGGACATGACAAAGAACCCACTAATAAAATAGGCACATGAACTGAGAACATCTGCTGGATGGTGAGATCAGCACATGAAGTGACCTGGCTTCCTGTGTTCTAGGACAAGGCAACAGAAAGCAGAGCTTGAGGCTGGGCTGCTCAGATGGTGCAGTTGCCTGGCATGTAGGAACCCAGCGACACAGATACAGCATATGGTGGTACAAGCCTGCAATCCCAGAACCCAGCAGGTGGAGGCTGGAGGATTGGAAATTCAAGGTCTTTTTTAAAAAAAATAAAATTATTGGCAGGATTAACTTTTAATAACTAATTGTTTATCACTTCTCATTGGCTCCCCTTTTAGAATATTTATTTTTACTTAATTAAAATATAATTACTTTTACAACATTTCTCCCCTCCCCCTCCTCCGTCCTACCCCTCACAGGTCCTCCCCTCCCAAATTCATCCCTCCTCTTCTTTAACTTTGGTTTTACATATATATATAAACATAAATGAATAAGCACACAGTCAGTACCCAGTACAGTGTGACTCAGTACTGTCGATGTTGCTTGCATGTGCATGTCTCTAGGACTAATCAATCACTCGGGATTAGAGAACCAATCATCAGGGCTCATCCTTGGGAAAGACTAACTCCTACCACCCCCACACCCCAGCACTTGTTAAATATTCATAGTTCTTCATCTAGGGGCAGGGCCCATGAGATTTCCACCATCTGCACTGGGATATTAAACTGACGTGGAATTGTTCGGGTCTTGTTTAGGCAGCCATATTGTTGAGATTGCATGTATACAGTTTCCCTACCATGGCTAGAAAGTAAAACCTCACATCAGACCTCCCGGTCCAATCAGACAACTCTCTCTTTCTTGATGGTCTCTGAGCCTTGGATGCAGGGGCTGTGCTGTAGACGCACTCGCTGGTGCTGAGTACACTGTGGTCCACTGTTCTCCCTGTTTTGACAAACGGTGGTTTTCTGCGAGGTCTCCATGTGCTGGGAACAGAAGCTCTTTGACAAGGGGTGAGAGCTACGCTCACCTGTGCATACGGGGTCAAGTGTTTAGGATGCAGTTAAGAATTATGTAATGGGGGCTGGAGAGATGGCTCAGCGGTTAAGAGCACTGACTGCTCTTCCAGAGGACCTGAGTTCAAATCCCACCAACCACATGGTGGCTCACAACCATCTGTAATGAGATTGGATGCCCTATTCTGGTGTGTCCGAAGACAGCGACAGCGACAGTGTACTCATAAATAAAATAGATAAATTAATTAAAAAAAGAATTATGTAATGGAGGGAGGTTCTCTTTTAAGACCCATGACCTCTCCAGTCCAGGGTCGTTGACTAAATCTGCAGTATCAAACGATTTCCCTCCCGTTGAATGGGCTTTAAGTCCAATAGACAGCTGTTGGTTATCTTCCAGGGATAATTGCTGTCTTTGCAGCTTTCGGGATATCTTGCCATGCTGGGCCATGTGGTTCCTGCTCATTAAAGCTGGGTAGGACTATTGATTGTTTTCCTCCCTTGGCAGTTGGCATATCAATTCCCAGTACGATGGCAGTTTGCATATCAATTTCCGGATAGTATGGAAGCTAGTCCTCTGGGAGGAGGCTTTCCCCTCAGTTCCTGATAGAAATCCTGAGTCCTGTGTCCAAAGTACGCAGAGTCTTCAGCAATAGGGTCTTACCTAGTTCCACTTCTGGGAGACAACCAAGGGCAACAGCAAGAGCATTTGAGGAGTCTCTTGGACAATCCTGATTCAACCATTTGAAAGGAGGTTTCTCATGCCTGGTATTAGGGTTTTTATTAGATAATCCCTGGCTCTTTGTCACAGCAAGTGAAATAACTTCACTTAAAATATTTAATGTGTATATCTATGTAATTTTAGGATTCCCTACGTCTTTATCAAGCATGATTAGTGTAATTTATCCCTCTTACCTCCTCTTCTCTATTGTTCTCCCTCCCACATCCCCAACCAAAGCCCCTCCCTTTTCCCCCCACTCTAGTCTTGTCACTCCCACCCTCGTCTTTTCCCTCTCAAACCCTTCCCCCCCCAACCCCCCACTCCCGTTTCCCTCTTCAAATCACCTGAATCCTGCTATTCCGCTCTCTGAGCTACCCCTGCACTCCCAATCATGTTCCCTCATTTCTAGTTCTGACAGTTACTCACACCTCTTCAGGTTAGAAAATTTAGAGTTAGAAACCACAGATAAGAGAGAAAATGCAATGTTTGTCTTTCTGGATCTGGGTTACCTTACTCAGTATACTATCTTTCTAGTCATTCTTGGCTACCTGGTAAGTTTAAAGCCAGCCTGGTTTACATGAGATCTTTTCTCAAAAGAAGAAAAAAAAGAATCTGGAAACCAATACTATTTATGATAATATGAAAAAAAACCTAAATCTTTAAGTATTGGTCTAATACACTGTGTTCAAAGCAACGTACAAGGAACCAGTCAAGCATGACAGAGAGCATTAGTGAGCGCTTAGAGAGAAATAATAGAAATCAATTATATCACAGAGCTGATGATTCAGGGTTATTAGAGTGTCTGAATTTGGCTTACGATTTATAGTCAATACAGTTGGATCAAAATCCAAATAGGCAATTGTCACTTGTCTAAATGTGCATGAGTGACTGTCAGTTGGCAACATCTATGTAGAGACACACATAGGTCCTAGAGTAGCCAAATCTTAAGGAGGAAAGACTCTTAGGGGTTATAAGATCTTAAGGGGTGCCACAGAACAGTGGTAGTTAAGGATGCTATAGGCTGAAGGCAAGACTGTACATACAGACCACAGGTATAGAAGAAAGAGTTCAGAAAACGATACACACATAAGTGGTCACGTGATTCAAGACAAAGGTGAATTTGAGTAAATAGAGTTTTTTTTTTTTCCAATGACTGGTACTCATTCTTGGAAGTGACATGAGTATCACCTTATATACAGAGAGTTAAATGTTTGAAATAAAAATCTTCTAGGAGAAAGGATATCCTTAAAAGGATATCTTCAGACTCTTTGCTAAGCCAAAGATTTCTTCAAAATGATAGGTGAAAACACTGACTGTCAAAGCGTTGTAATTGGACTCCGTCGAGTTAGGAAGGACTGTTGGCTAAAAGTCGTCATTAAGAGGATAATAAGGAAGTCACAGACTGCCAGAAAAATACTGGAATCTATGTATTAAACTGTGTTCACTAGGAGACTCTTTAAAGAACCCCCACTAAGATCAATATTTAGAAAAAAAAGTCAGCAACAACAACAACAACAAACGGGCAGAGATCTGAGTATGTCTCAGCCGTAGCACTCAGGAAGTAACGGGGAGTTAAAACTAACTATCAGGGAGGTCTATTTCCAGCATGCTGGTGTCAAGAGCCTGGTGCACCTACTCACTGGGAAGCAAAGATCGATAGTGGCCTGTCTTACAATAAGGTGAGTAACAAGCATCCAGAAGCTCGAGAAATTGTCCTAGTGGCAGATGGCAGTCTTAAATGTTTACTGAAGATCTCCAACAGGGGAAGAACAGTGAGCACACTGAGAGAGCTGAGGCACTGTCTGCTGCTCCCCTCAGTGACCCTTTCCTGCCTGTTCAACAAGGAGACTCCATTACAGACAGAAAAGCCCAATGGAAAGGGTCTCTGGGGAGATATTCCTCTGGCATTTCTCAGCTCCTCCAGCTCTCCAGATGTCCTCTTCCTCAGAGTGTCAGGTTGCCAGCTGACTATGGCAAGAACCGTGGAAGATTCTAGGCCCAGCACTTAGCATTTGAACTCAGCCACAGGGCTATCATTTAGGATAAAACAGAACCAGGAGACTATGGCGTTAAATAGTCAAACTGAGCCCGAGTTGTTAACACTGGATGCTCAGGGAAGGAATCTTCTGTCTGAGGTTTCAAGGCCCGATACTTGCAGAGAATATTTCAGATGGAATTAAGCAGGGGACACAACGGTAAGACAGACAGATGTGTAAGTCGTTCATAATCAGCATTTAGAAACTGCCTTCATTCCTGTTGGCCTGCCCTCTGCTGTTGTGACAAACACCAGAGGTCTGAGTTGGTTTCGCTCTGAGTTTCTTAGGTTTGTGACGCTGGCCACTGGGCCCTGTAGGTTTAGCCCTGTG